TAAGTGTAATTAAGACGTAACAAATGTAAATCAAACTTATCATATGCCAAAATTAACAACTTCAACCAGTCCAACAGAAGTACAAATACTTGAAGCTATATAATTAGGAATTTGTGTTTGATTTCAGTTCTTTAGGATGCCAGTATTCGATAAATGTGGTATTGACATGTTGAACGAGGATCAAATCACCTGCCAATTAAACTTGATAATGCAAATGGATACTCCGGGGGATCCCGTGGGCATATTAACTACAGACAATCGTGATAATTGGGGCAGAGGGTTTGAAGTACTCATGAAAGGTAAACCTAGTACAGCAACCACGATAACTTGAACAAAGGCATTGAAAGTTTCATACATATATTCCAAAAAGTAACTTTAGTCCGTTGCGAGTCTTATATTATATGCACCAAAGATTTGTAAAAATATAAAAATAATTCTGTATTGTCTTCAGTTTTTGAAAATATCCGAAGCAGAAATAAAAAAAAACATTTAAACAAAATTCTAGAAATAGTTTTTTTTTTTTCTAAAATAATAGATAACAAATAAAAAATAGTTTTTTTGTTATTGTCGCTGATCACATTTTTCGATATATGACAGAGGATCACAACAAGAAAGTATTTGAAATAATCGAAACATCTTTTATTCATCATGTGTATCGATGGACCCATGCCTAAAGGGGATTCACTTAACCAGCGGTCAATTGCTGCAAAGCAATTATTGCATGGTGGTGGAAGCAAATACAATTCTGGAAATAGATGGATGGATAAAACCATACAGGTAATACAACAATATTGTTAGCATTATTTTAGTAATGTAAAAATCAATTAGAAGTAACTCAAATCAATTTTGATGTCCATTATGAGCGATTCAAAAAATATTTTCCACTATATCGGGTTTAAGCCACATTCGTCCACCCATCAGGAAATTTCTAAAATTATATTACTAATGTTGCAAATTATTACGCATCATGGCAGTAGTATAAAACCTCTATTTATAGTTTGTAGTTGGAGAAGAGGGTCAAAATGGTATGATTTACGAACATGCACCATGTGAAGGAGGCCCTGTAGCCACGATAAGCGATTATGTGATAGCATATATTCAGAAAAACGTCAAAGCAAAACCATGCTGCCATTATGACAAAGCATGTCATATAGTATTCAGTATCGGATCGGATGTTCAAGCTTTAATATCAACGGCCAAAACAAATTTAGATTGTGCAGTACAAGGTATTCAAGTTCATGGTTGCCAGTTCAAGCAGTTTGGAACCGATTTTATTAAAAAAAATAATCTCAGCCCAGACGCTTTTGTACAGTCGGCATTCCAATTGGCATTTTACAGGTAATAAGGAGCAGTCCTATAATTCCTAAATTATTGCAAATAACGTAACATTAGGCAATCATCCAGGAAGATCGTAATGCGATCAGAGTTTTCAAAGACATTCTATTCTAAATTATTAGTACAACGTATACTTCTACAAATATTGAACAATGCAAGCCAAAACTAGATCACTAAACGAGATAACAACATATGCAAATATTTTTATTTCAGAATACACAATAAGCCTGGAGCTACTTATGAATCTGCAGCGCTACGGATTTTCGAAGATGCTCGCACAGAGAATATCAGAGGATGTTCAGCGGAGTCAGTAAAAATGGCCAGAACTTTGCTCAATAGACGCTCGTGCTTAGAAGATCAAATGAAAGTTTTAACAGAATCTATTAAAGCACACAGAGCTTTCACATTGAAAGTAAATTGTAACTTGAGTTAAAATAATGCCTATTAGTTCTAAGCATCTGATAATCCTCAATCTAAGGCCACCTTAGAAATTGAAGCATAGTTGCTCCAATTGCATATATGATTTAATTTTGCTTCGTGCAAAC